ACGATTGATACAGACAAAATATAGCTGTCTGTTTATAGGGCAAAATACATTAACCATATTTTACATTGCACACCATGAAAAAACCTTTATAAATAATAAAAAACAATATTATATTACATCAGAAAACATAATATTATATTACATCAGAAGTGACGATTACAATGTATACAATATAATGTACGATTGATACACAAAAATACAACTGTACCCCTAAAGAGGCTTTATATCCTCTTAGTGCTCCCTCCCTGTGCAAACCTCCCTTTTTGTTTATTTGTCTTTCGATTGCCTCTGCCGTCTCCTCCTCCTCGGATGTCTGCTGACATGCCATCTGTGTTCAATGGTTTAACTTCTGAGGCAAAAAATCAGACAGAGAAAAAGGGGGTATAAGGATGCCCTCATCGTCACTTTATAACTATTTTTTTTTTTTATTCCCGCCGCCACTTTGGTGCAGAACGAGATGACTGTATTTGTCTTGCGCTTGCAGCACGGGCCCCTGGCCCTGCTGTTGCTGCTGTTTTTGCTGTTGTTGCTGTTCCGGCTGCTGCCACTACCGGCATCTTTGTTTCTGCGGCTGCTGCTACTGGTGCGCTTCCTGCTGCGGTTTCTACTGCAGCTGCTTTTCCTGCTGCAGTTCTGGTTGCTGTACTTCCTACTGCTGCTGCTGTTGCTGCTGCTCCTCCTGCTGCTGGTCCTGTAGCTGCTGGTCTTCATGCTGCTGTTGCTGCTTCTGCTGCTCTTCATGGTGCTGCTGTTGTGGCTGCTGCTCCTCCCGCCGCTTTTGCTGTTGCTGCTGCTCTTCCTGCTGCTGTTCCTGTTGCAGTGGCTGCGACACCTGCAGATGATGCTGCAGGTGCAGCAGCAGCAGCTGCTGCTGCTGCCACTCTTCGTCATCATCCCGGAAACGCGCCCATGGACCTCTCTGCAACGCCGGCACCGCCGGTGTAGAAAAGATAATCTGCTTAAGAGGAACAAGATAACCTGGGGGTGGTCTGAACCCCCTTTTATAGAATTCAAGTCCATTCTGCAGCAGCCTGGCTAGCAGCACATTTTGTGCTGCTGTGCGGCGGGCAACAGCAGACTGAGAGGGGCGCGTATACACCGGAAGGGTGTCTAATGTTGTTTTCCACCATTCGTTTTTCTTTGCTTTCTCTCCTAATATCTCTGCTGCAACACACATTGCATCTGTTAGCACCAGTGCGATGGCGAGCTTTTCTACAACATACTTAGGGCTTAGATGATCGATGACCTGCTTCTTCCGATGCAGTGTATGCTGAACTAGCTGCTCGAGACACTCCAATAGACGCTTGAGGTCTTCTGAGTTTAATATTGGCTTCTTCAAGATATTTTTAATGGCTATAAGAGCACCCATATCGCTTAAGGTCCGTCGAGATGCCAACGACTGCCTCCGCTCTAACTCCCTCGAAAGAACGGCATCACTGGCTACAGGAGGATATCTGTAGAAGGGGTGATGGTTTACATTATATGTCAGCTGCTGCTGCACTTGCTGTTGCTGCGGATGTTGCTGCTGCAGCTGTTGTTGCTCTTCTGGAGAAGGAAGATGCACAGAGGCGATAAGCAAGGCCGGCTGCCCCTGACAGAGAATAGCGACACACGAAGCAGAATAAACGAACGAGCTGTACAGAGACCTCAACCCATAGCATAATGGATACATACGGTGCTATGCAGAAGAAGAATAAAAGGTAGAACGAGAACTCGAACAAGATGAAGAAGAGCAAAAAGAACAGGAAAAACGGCAACAAAGAGGAAAACAAGAAGAACAAGAATAACAAAAGGAACAGGAACACGAACAATAAAGAGAAGACGAGGGGTTAAAAGAACAATCAAAACAGGAAGAACCGGAAGAGTAACAGGAACAAGAGCAAGGACAAGCAGAACGATGAGACAGAGTAATAACACTAACTATAAGAAGAGCAAGAGAAACGCGAACAGGTTAAGGATGTCCACATGCCCTGCAGCATTTGTAGATAAATCTGTGGCTCAGACCTCTCACNATTTACGTTTTCTTTTTTTGCTTATTTGTGTATTCATTTGTTCGTCTGCTTGTTCGTTTGTCTACTTATTTGTCTGTTTACTTCTTGTTTGTTTGCTTTGGTGTGCTGTGTGTGCGTGTTCGAGTCTGTGTGTGTTTGTTTGTTTGCTTGTTTTCCTTGTTTTTCTATTTTTTTATATGTTTGTTTATACATTGATTTGTTCATTTGTTCGGTTGTTTGTCTATTGTTTCTGCTCTAACCGGATCCCTAGCCTCTTCCTTTTTTCACGTATGTTTATATGCATCATTTCTTTTTCGTTTTCTGTTCACAGTAATAAAACTAACCGTCGATCCATTGTTATTTCTTTTCCCTTTTCTACCTACAACCATGCCACTAGTCATCAGTTGATACATCATTCTTTGCTATTTCTACCTGTAGTATTAAAACTAATTGTAGATACATCATCAATTCTCTATGGTTTCTACTTATCATCATAAAACGATTCATACAGCCTTACATCTTCGTTTGTGATTTCTTTGCTGCCGACGACGTATGAGGCGTCGGTATTGGGTAT